ATTCATCTTGTCTTCCAGCTATGTGATTCCTGGATTCAGAAGATTTTTCACTAGTTCCCCATAAGCTTCCAACTGTAATCTGTCACCTATAAATCCCTTCATGGTTGGATTATTTACAGGATTGTCTATCTCACATGCTTCAAGTTTCTTCTATGAAACACCTTCACCTGTTGGAAGCTAGGTGACAATACCTGTCCGATGGAACAATATTCACCCTAGATTCAGATGGTCCTTATTCTTCTGGTCTTCCATAAGGCCCTGAAAACCTGGCTTTTCCCCTAGATCAGTAATGGCTAACTTTTTCCAGACCAAGTGCCCAAAGCGTAAGCAGGCGCGAATGCATGGATATGCGCCCGAACCCCCAAAATGCAATGCGCACACAGCCCCCATGCTTGTGCCCCACCCCTATGCATGCCCATGCATGGCCCCCCACACATGTCCCAACCTTCCGTGTATGTGTGGCAGAGACCTGGCGACCAGCTGGCCGGCGGGAGGCACACATACATGCTAGGGGTGGGTTCTACTTACCTTTACGACCGGTTCGCAATGGGGCCGCGCATGCACAGAAGCTTCTTGTTGACATCCGGGTCAGTGGGTGGAGCCTCCCGCCAGTTTTACTACCGGTTCTTGCAAACTGGTCCGAACCGGGGGCAACCCACCACTGGTGCTTGCGCAGCGGAGCTGAACTGGGGCAACAGCTTGCGTGCCCACAGAGAGGGCACTGCGTGCCGTAGGTTCGCCATCACAGCCCTAGATATTGGGCCAGAGCTTGGGAAGAGTCAGGGGAAGGACTTGAACAGAATTCACTGTGGTTGATCAAGTTTATTCTGTTTTGGATATTTGCTTTGTTTTGGGCTCCTTTGTTTTTTATGCTTCTAACCATACGTAAGCTGCCTAGAGTTGCTTTTGCAACTTTGGGAGTTCATATCAAGCATACACACAGAGAGAGAATAAGATGATAATTAGCATGAGAGAATCAGTTGGTATAATGTTAAGGCACCAGACTAGAAACTGGGGTACTGTGAGTTCTAGCTTAGCCTTAGGCATGAAGCCAGCTGGGTGACTTTGGTCCAATCATTCCTTCTCAGCCCTAAGAAGAAGGTGGCAATAGCAAACCGCTTGTGAAATGCTAAAATCTTGCCAAGAAAGGAACTAATCCAGGCAGTTGCCAGAAGTCAATAATGACTTGAAGGCACATACACAAAAGTAACAGAGTCAGTTTGGTCTAGTTGTTAAGGCATCGGGCTTTAAAGTGGGAGACCATGAGTTCAAATTCTGCCTTAGCTATGTAAACTGGTTGGGAGACTTTGGGCTGGTTACTCTCTCAGCCCAACCCACCTCATAGGCTTGTTGCTGTGGGGAAAATAGGAAGAGGAAGGTGTGTGTTCTCTGCCTTGAGCTATTTGTAAAAATAATAATAAAACAAAGAAATAAAGAAGGGGGAAAGTAATATAGTAATTTCCCATTGTTTGAGCCAGTTGAAAAATGCATTCTAATGGGTAGACAAGATCAATGAATTGGGGCAGATTTGCTCAAGAACCAGAAATAGAACCAGAGTCCAATATGAAGTAAATATGTTCATGACACTCATTGTTTTTCTGGCCCTTTCTTATCCACTGAAAGTTCTGAATGCTCACCAATAAACATAATTCATTTATTCTGGGTTTCCACCTATTACTGTACATTCAGTACACTTGGGTTTTTTTTCATTCCCTTATTTCATTATGCATGATTGGCTAATGTTTCTGTACAGTAGTTGAGGAACACGCCTAAAAGCATTTTTTAAATTCTTCCTGCAAGTTGTGCAAGCTCTGAAATCAAAGGTTTCTTGCTTCTGGTACCACACACATTTATCTTTGTTATTGCTTCGCTTAACTGAGTGAACAGATATCACTTGCAAGCCAGACTCTGCTTTGCTGTAGTGTACTGATTAATGAGTTATCATGGTAAATCTTCTAAAGCATTGATCTAGGATGGGGTAATTTTTTCTGCAAAACAAGGATAAGATTTTGGGTGCCACTAAGGCCAACAAAATGATATCAAGTGCAACAGCAACAGATGGATTGATTTAGAGTTGTCTGGAATAATTATTGTTTATTTTGCTAACGCAATAGCACTCCTTAACAGGTTGTAGAATAGAATTACAGAGTTGGAAGGGACCTTGGAGGTCTTCTAGTCCAACCCCCTGCTTAGGCAGGAAACCCTATACTCTTTCAGACAAATGGTTGTCCAATCGCTTCTTAAAAATTTCCACTGTTGAAGCCATTCACAACTTCTGGAGGCAAGTTGTTCCTCTGGTTAATTGTTCTCATTGTTAGGAAATTTCTTCTTAGTTCTAGGTTGCTTCTCTCCTTTATTAGTTTTTTATCCATTGCTTCTTGTCCTGCCCTCAGGTGCTTTGGAGAATGGCTTGACTCCCTCTTCTTTGTGGCAACCCATGAGATATTGGAACACTGCTATCATGTCTCCCCTAGTTCTTCTTTTCATTAAACTAAGACATACGCAATTTCAGCAACCGTTCTTTATATGTTTTAGCCTCCAGTCCCCTAATCATTTTGTTGTTCTTCTCTACATTCTTTCTAGAATCTGAATGCTGTGTTTCCCTGAAAATAAGACCCTGTCTTATATTTTTTTTTGAACCCTGAAATAACCACTTGGCCTTATTTTTGGGGAGGTCTTATTATTTTGGGGTGCGTGGAGCAAGACAGGGCTCCTCTTGCCGTCTTACCTGATTTCCAGCTCTGTCTCCCTAACCTTAACTAGAGGAAATGGCGGGGACCAGCTGCGTATGCGGTTAAATATTTTCAGGGAGGGCTTATTTTGAGGGGGGGCTTATTTTCAGGGAAGGCTTATTTTTAGCGCATGTACTCAAAAGCCCAATTGGTCTTATTATCCGGGGAGGTCTTATTTTGGGGAAAACAGGGTATCTTTTTTGCAACGTGGCGACCAAAACTGGATGCAGTATTCCAAGTGTGGCCTTACCAAGGCATTATAAAGTGGCATTAACACTTCAGGTGATCTTGATTCTATCCCTCTGTTAATGCAGCCTAGAGCATGAATTATGAGTGCTCCCTTATAATTTTTGCTATCTAGATATTTTTAGTTGAGCCTCAGTCTTCTCCAAATATATCCCTATCTCAAATTTATGAATTCCAATATTTCAACAATTCAGGCCCTGGGAGCCTTAGAACTTCAAGATGAAATGCCATGTTTTATTTTTTCTTCTATAAAAATACTTCAAATAAGATAAGAATTTCTGTTATAATCCTACCCCCTGGTACCCCCAATCTTCTTTAAATCCAAGGACTAAAGTGGACTCTAAGAGACTTTCCAATTTCCAATTTCTCCAATCCAGGTCATTGAAATGTATAGGCCTATAACACCCATTATGCAGTATGGCATAATAAAAAATAATAGTTCAACTTCTAATGTGGGTATCGGGTTGCAGATTGTTGGTTGCAGACTGTGGTTGTTAGTATCTGAAAGAAGGACCAAAGCCCACATGTTGCCAGATGCTTCCTTGATGAAAGAATATTAATATGACTATTAATCTGTACATTATTATTATTGAACATTTTGGAGAAAAAAAACACATCATGTTTTTTTTTTCCAAACATGAACAATCACTCAAATGTCCATTTGATGTAATATGAAACTAGTTATGTTCTTAAACAATGGTAACATTTAAGGATGCAAAACTTTCTTGTGTCTTAGACTTGTTTAAAAAGAGAGTTCATGGAGGAGAAAGAAGAAGTGGTAAAAGATGGCTTTAAAATGGACAGAAAACAGTAGGTAAAAGACCAGTTCTTCAAAGTGATGAACAAATTAACAAGTTGTTCAATTGTTGTTTTTCATTGCTAGGGTCTTCTGCGTCTTAGCAAGTAACTGACTTTGTGTTTGCTTTAGCCTGGAAACAAAACATGATCAGATGTGGTTCGTTCATGAGTGGGAGAACACCAGGAAGTTCCACAAGTGTAGGCTAAACAATGAAGTTAAAAATCCTGGAAGAATCCAATTGCAAACTACTTCTGCATTGTTGCTAATAAAACTGCATGATTGTGTCCCTGTAAACACTAAAATAGGGGAGTATCAAGTTTATTTAGCTTTAGAAATAAACTTGATTCCTTCCCTTCCCTTTATGACGATCACTAAGCAATATGGTCATTAAGTGAGTCAGATCCAATTTTACAACCTTTTTTCCCATGGTTGTTAAGTGAATCCAACTTCCCACATTGACTTTGCTTGTCAGAATCCCCTTGGAAGGTCACCAATGGCAATCCCATGTTTCCACTATGCTTCAACTATCTTAAATACATGTTGGTTGTGATGCACCTGAATTTTGATTATGTGACTATAGAAATGCTACAATAGTTATAAACATGGGGACTGGTTATAGGTCACTTTTTTCTGTACTGTCATAACTTCGAAGGGTCATAAAATGAATGGCCATAAATCGAGAACTCTGTAGAAAAGAAACCCTGCCAGTCCTCAGACAGATTGTGTTCTCAAATATTAAATAGCATCTGGCATTCAAGCCAAGTTCTGCCTTTTGGTTGAGTTTTCCAGGTTCCTATTTCTCATGTAATGACAACTTCTAAAGATCAAACAAAGGACTGTAATCACACATTTACCATTTTGAAAAAATACAGTATATCCTAAAAATATAGTAATAGCAGCCTTACTTTTGCAGGACCCAGGCAGTTTTGAAATAGAGAAGGCTGTCAATTATTTGCTAATTTAATTTTCATTTTATCCAACAGCTCTATGTCATTAAAAAGGCAGGCCTTATAAATGGACCAGTGACCATATGGTAGATTTGGGTAATTCAAATTCTTTGCTAGGCTAAACATCATACTTGGTAAGAGAATGAAACATGGACACTGTGTTTGTTTAGACCTTTCAGTTTACAGCCAGTCCATTAAAGATGCAGGCAGCTACGATTAATAGTGCATCTTTCCTGTTGTGATGGAGAATTGCTGTTTTCTTGTTTGCACTTGTAGTGGATGCAAGAGTGACTGTTGGCCTGGACAATGCAGCTGTTTCTTCCCAGAAAACAATGGAGATAAGCTCCAACTCCGAGGCCAGTGGAAATAATCTTGGGAAAGAAGCCAAACCTATTCCGCCAGCTGCCAAATCTCGTTTTGCCTTTGCATTTTCACGGTCTGTACCAGGACGTACTGAAGCGCAGGCGACAAATTCATCCCTTGGATCAGCTCAACTTGATGTCAGCTCAGAGGCGGCTCAAGCAAACAAAGCATCGAGTGAAAACGGGGAGCTTTCAGTCGCAGCTGCCACAGAGAAAGCTTCTGATAAAAACCTAAGTGAAGCATCTCATAGTGAAATTGAACTCTCCGCACCAGCTAAAGAGGAGGATGTCCCTTTACCAAAGTCCAAAGAGTTAACTTTTTTGGACAGGCTCTTCAAATCGGAAAAAGGAAGACCTAAGAGCAGGCAACAGGAGCAAAATCAACAGGAGGTGACCGACAGCTGTCCAGGTGTAGGCATCCCCTCAGAAGAACCTGCAGGATTAAAAAGCACCTCGGATCATGAATCACAGGGAAAGGCAAGTATAGAAATTGGAACTGGGTGGGATAATTAATACTGCAGAAATCAGAAATAGAATTTAGAGAATTGATTTTAAAATAGCAAGGAAAGAAAAGAAAAAGTAGAGACCAATGCAAAATTATTTATTCAGGTAACAGAAAAATACCTGCCCAAGCCCAAAATGGATATGGGAGGAAAAGGGTTCCTGGCTTAGTTTTTAAAAATGTGAACAAGATCTTGGGATTGTAGTTCATGACAAACTGAATACTAACATTTGTATAATATATAGATGCAGTAAAAACAAGGGCAGTTTTAAATTATATCAAGTGAAGGGTAATTTGGAAATACCAGAAAGTAATACTTCTAAGTTCTTTTTTTTGAGTACTGAGCCTAGTTTGGCGCCTTGCAGTTTAGAGATTCAGAAAAACTTTTTAAAAAAAAAAAAAGGTTCAAAGAAGAGCAATGAGAATGATCAGAAGATGAGCAATTAAGCCTTATGAGGGGAGATTGAAGGAACTGGGATTATTCAGCCTTCAGAAAAGAAGGCCAAGGGAGTCATGATAGCATCTTTCAAATACTTGAAAGGATATCTACCTACAGGTCAAAATCTGTTCTGCATTGTCAAATAATGGAATTCTGTTTTGAGGAAATAGTTCACAATTATAAGTATATTATTTTTTAAATCTTCCTGACAGTAATACAACAATGGAACCAGTTATTCACAGATATGGCCTTCTTCCCTAGAAGCACACACTGAATATATGTTTCATTTCTGACTACCTTTGTGAAAGGTTCTGAGGGGACACAAGATAATCAGATTAGTGAGGAGGTACAACACTTGAGGAAGAGAAATAAATAAGACCAGCCCTGTCATTAGGCACAGTGATTAGTTTGGTCATTTTTTAAAAAGTAAAATATGGAATCCTAGCTGCTTCTGTAAGATTTAGTGAGTTACAAAGAGAGTTTTTAAAAAAGAAATATCCTAATTGTGCCCCGCTTTATATATATCAGCATAAACAATGTTGTAGAAGAAATGATTATCCTGTGAATTAAATATTCCTCATCTTACATGACTGCATTCATACACTATGGTAATGCTTTACATCATCGGTTAGACAAAAAAAAGTGAGCCCAGCCAATAGTGGCTTGTTCAGCAAACCATGACTTGGTACAATGTAGGAACCTAGTTTATGATTTAGTAGCTTAGACCATTTTTGTAGTTCCTAGGATGAGGTGAAGATCCTGGGTTGATCCTGGACATTCATTCCCCTGTCCTTTGTCATTGAGACTGTAACTCTCCAAACCTTATTCTCATAATGCCCAATTGTAGTTTCTACATCATTGAATTGTTTCCAAAATGGCTTAGCAAAATTCTAGCAATATCATCAGCTTCCTGCTCCTTGCCTCTTCTCTTCTCATAACCACTTCTTCTGACTCTTGCAACTTCATCCTTTTCCTTTCTCTCAATCTGGCTAAATTAACCTGTGACAAAAATGTCATTTGCATTCTTAAGGAACTCTCACAGACAGAGGACAAATAAGCCTACTTCGAAGTTAAGTTTTCATTAGGAGAGGATGGCATCTTAAGATGCAGTGTTTCTCAACCTTGAGAAACAACGGGAAGATGGCGGACTTCAACTCCCAGAGCAAAGCTGGCTGGGGAATTCTGGGAGTTGAAGTCTGCCCATCTTCAAGTCTGCCAAGGTTGAGAAACACTATGCTAAACATTCAAAAGCATTGAGAATCCTTGTTTCTGCAAAGCTTGGAAAATATTGCAAACTTTCATGCCTGGAAAGATTGCTGCAGAAGTCACAATAAGAAGAATGGGATCTCAAGCTTCTGTGCTGCTCTTATTTCAAAGCAGCAGGTTGTAGCATACACATCTTCAGATAGCCTGAAAATGATCTTCCGGGAGGAGGAGGAAGAGGGGGGGAGAGGGAGAAGAAGAAGAAGAAGAAGAAGAAGAAGAAGAAGAAGAAGAAGAAGAAGAAGAAGAAGAAGAAGAAGAAGAAGAAGAAGAAGAAGAAGAAGAAGAAGAGGAGGAGGAGGAGGAGGAGGAGGAGGAGGAGGAGGGGGGGGGGGGAGGAGGAGGAGGAGGAGGAGGAGGAGGAGGTCGTCTTAATATTCTTCCCATCTGTGTTTTGTTAGGCTTTATATTCAAATGAAGAAGCCTGATGGAAAAGCCACACATCAAATAATAAGAGCTCCTTTGGCTGGGCTAATGGCAAGAAGCCCCATTTTATAGACTGCATATTTGTACAGAAAGTCAAAATATTAGATAGAATTGTAATTGTCTGGATTTTGCTCTGGGCACCGATCACTCTTTAAATAAGCCAAGGCTTATAGCTTCTGAGGAGAAAATTAATTAATTATATCAATCACATCAAAGCTTTTTTTTTTCCCCACATGCCAACAAACAAGCAGCACCACTGGAAAGAGGAAGGGAGGGAGACGTTCCCATTTTAGGGCAGACTCCCGAAGATAGACAGACATTCTGTGTTTGGTTGAAACACGGCTTTCTTTTCAAGCATCACAAAACTACATTCAGGAAGCTGCACAATTCAAACAAGGGCAGGATTCACGGCCTGGATAGAGCAGTTACTATTCAGGCCAAGGTAAATGGATCGCTTGGACTATTAGCCCACAGCCATGTGAATGTGAATGTAGAAAGTCTTGGCAGAAAGGATCATTTTCATAAATCCCCTTGTCTATATTTTAGGAGACTAGGATTTGTACCAGGGTGTATGCAGGCGATAGGAGAGGATAAAACAGAATGGCAGCTGAGAGTGCATGATCAAAACCTTGCCCTTTCAGTGCATGCGTCAGTGTTCGTCAAAAAAAGAAAAAGGCTGGGTTTAAATTGTAAAGTTGTGGCTACCAACTTGATTTTTCTTGGAGGTTATCCTTGATTTATACTAACTTTATGATTGTAAATTGATAGAGAAACAGAGAGGGAGAGACAGACAGACAGACAGACAGACAGACAGACAGACAGACAGACAGACAGACAGACATAGACTGACTAAAACACCTACTGACTAACTCTTATAGAAGCATTTAACTCCTTGCATACTAACCTAAAAAGAAATCCTACTATATCTTCCATTTTTTTCATGAAATTAAAGGACTTTTGTTACACCATAATTCCATGCATGTAACATTTTACATATCACAAGAATCTCTGTCCACAGCCCACTTCCATCCCACTGAATTGTATGTTCCCGTTGTAATGGTATGTGACCCATTCTTAATGTGAAAGGGAAGACATGGAGAAAAGGGTCTCCATGGAGTAGAATAAGCTACACAATGTAGTTCTGAATATCTTTCTAAATAAATTCCTATTGCTTTGGTTTTATGAGGTCTCTCCCACCCAGCCAAGTATTGCATAAAGAATTGTATTGTATGAGTAAAAAAATGCAAACATCGAATAATCCATAGATAATAAGATTTTTAAAAGCCATTATTTTTTTTTTAAAAAAAGTGCTATTGAAAAAAGAAAATTGTAAGACATATGCACTCTATTACCAAAAAATAGCTACCACATATGACAATGCATTTATAAAGTGACTCCTAATGGGCTCTAAATGAGAAAGAATCTTGCTAAAAACTTACAAAGACAAACTTCAATACTATACTGTGCATACTTCAACAAGCATTAACATGAATTACGGAGGGTTTGAAAGCCAAACGCTTTATACAGAAGACCATGGGATAACATCCATGTTTTTAAGAACAGCCATGGGCTCACATTTCACACTGAGGGAGTACAATTACATTTTTTTTCTATTTTAAGGATATTGCTTCCTAATTGCTTCCAAATTTCCAAAATATAATCCAGGAATTCTAAGTAATATTTGCCATTATGAGCCTTAGTGGCGCAGTGGTAAGAATGCAGTACTGCAGGCTAACTCTGCCGACAGCGTGGAGTTTGATCCTGATGGGGGCTCAAGGTTGACTCCACCTTCCATCCTTCTGAGGTGATAAAATAGAATAGAATAGCAGAGTTGGAAGGGGCCTTGGAGGACTTTTAGTTCAACCCCCCGCTTAGGCAGGAAAACCTACACCACTTCAGACAAATGGTTATCACAACTTCTTCAGGCAAGTTGTTCCATTGATTAATTGTTCTAACTGTTAGGAAATTTCTCCTTAGTTCTAAGTTGCTTCTCTCCTTGATTAGTTTCCACCCATTGCTTCTTGTCCTACCCTCAGGTGCTTTGGAGAATAGCTTGACTCCCTCTTCTTTGTGGCAGCCCCTGAGATATTGGAACACTGCTATCATGTCTCCCCTAGTTCTTCTTTTCATTAAACTCGACATACACAGTTCCTGCAACCATTCTTCATGTGTTTTAGCCTCCAGTCCCCTAATCATTTTTGTTGCTCTTCTCTGCACTCTTTCTAGAGTCTCAACATCTTTTTTACATCATGGCGACCCTAAATAGATTGTTAGGATCAATATGCTGATGTTGTAAACCATTCAGAGAGTGCCATAAAGCATCATGGGGCAGTGTATAAGTCTCAATGTTATTGCTATTGCTAATTTATGAAGCAGATTGCACTATAATCAGTGAAGTTGTTTAACATTACTTGATTCCCAGATCTTTTTTAACAATTTCATTGCCCTCAAAAAACAGGCCAGTAGCAGCTGGCTTGCTCATAGTCAGTTAGTGAAAATTGACAGCAGTAATAAAACCAGCTGCACTGATCGGCCTGTTTTTTTGACAGCAAGCAAAATCTGCTTTCAGAAGGCATAGTGATGTCACTCTGCAAGCGTCACTCTGCAGTGAAGTCATGATGCAGGCATGCAAAAGAAAAGGGGGCGGGGCTTATCAAGCCTTGCTGGGGACATTCCTGCCACAGTATGTGATGTAGGCCCTTGATATGTTTGCCTTTGTGGACCTCTCTTCTATAAACATAATAGCAATAACAATAGCACTTAGACCAGTAGTGGGATTCACGTACCTTTGCTACTGGTTCACAAATGTGAGCGCACATGCCTGCGCATACACAGAGCATCTGTTAT